CCTTACTTTACTCACTGCTCACTTTATCAATCATATCTTTTGGAACGAAGAGAAATTAAGTAATACGTTTACTGCAACGTTTACACGAAATTTACGAGTTGTTCCTCGTACGCACGCATAAATAAACATTCTATTAACTTCAATTTATTTAATATCGTAAACAAGAAGCGAAAAAAGAAAAAAAAAAAGAAAAAAAGAATCTGTTCAAAAAGATGTATAAATGAAATAAATCATCGAGATACGAGCGTGGACCGAACGAGAAACATATTTCTTCCAAGGAACAGCGGTGTTTTGCTTCGTTAAGGATCGATAAAGGAAAGAAGCGAGGAAGGAAGGTTAGAGGATGGTGGCAAAAATACGCGGAAAATTGATGCTTTTTCCAATGTGGACTGCGCGTCATCTTGTAAACACTTCTTTCTCCCCCTTTCGGTCGTTGTAAATAACGAGCAGGCGGTGCTCCCGGCCCGGAAAAATCTCTCATTCCGGTTTCCTCGCCGCGTTAGAGGCGCTACACCGCGGCGAGGTCGTTCTCCAGATTTATTGATTACAAATTGCACGGCGATCAATCGCTTAATGGTACCGGCCGCGCTCTCGCTCTCTCGCCAGATGTATTTATGAATCAATACAAAATATAGCCTTATTAAATCACCTATCGCCCCCACCGAGGCCTCACCCCGAGAAAGGGGCCCTCTAACGCAACGCGTCGTGTTTGCACCGCGATTAATGCGCTCTCGAACGCGATCCTGACGGCTATTATTTTCTTCGTAACGCGATATAATCGAACCGCAACCGAGATCAACATTTCGTGCGGAAGAACGTTCGATCGGGAACGAGGAGGGGATGGGAGGCGAATTTGCATTTAACTTCTCGATGCCCTCTGCATAAATTTTTCCTCGTAAATTGAAATTCTTTACGCTTCCTTGATTCGTTCGACGCGATTTTTTTTAAACGATCGATCGTCATTTAAAACCCTTGGATCGACGATCAATACTCTGATTCCGATAATTCTTTTTTTTTTTTTATAAAATACGCCAAGTACATATAGCAACGTGGAAAATTGCGTGCTTTTTCTTTAATAGAAAAATATTTGAAAGAAAGAAGAGTTTGTTTTAAAGTCTTAATTTGTGTAGAAAAGATCTATTTATTTATATGATTTACAAAAAAAAGTTGACAAAAAGTCGAGTTCTCCCTTACTTCGAAACGTCTCAATTGGAAACATCGATAGCAATCATTTTGTTTAAGAAAGAGAAAAAGTTTGACGTATCCGTGGTGAGAAGAAAACGAACCGGTTTACGTACCTTATTATACAATTTCTGACAGAGTTGGGGAACGGAAGGAACGGGGAGGCGAGGGCACAAAAGAGGCCGGGGAATGCGAAGCAATAAGATCAAAGCTAACGATCGATTCCTCGGAGACTGCAGCTTGGCACGATCCTTTGCCAAGATCGTTTCCGGAAATCGACGACTCTGTCGACGTTAAAATTCAATCCCAAAAGTAAGAGGGGGAAATAAAAGTAGGGGGAGAATACGCGAGCGTGTACGAGAGGAATTTCTTCGGCTTCTCTTGCGAATCCCTTTCGCGATCGATAGCTCCATTCTTCCGTGACCATTGCCGCTTAACCATTCCGAGAACATTCAGATTAATCCATTTACGATTATTCATCGCGCGATGCGAAAAATAACATAACCAGATAATTTTATAATTTTATATTTACATATTTTCCTCTTCGATAAATTATTTTCCTCTTCGATAAATGTTTCGATAAAATTTTATCAGAAAGTGAATCGTATGAAATCGTAGTGTCGCAAACTAGTCGCTCAACTTTTATCTCCCTTTAACGATCTCTTAGCGCGATGACAACGAAACGAGTTGTTTCAAACCGTCGCCTCATCAAGGCAAGGGGGAAAAAAAAGGAAAGGAAGAAAACGCATAAAGAGAATAAAAGAGGGAAACAATAGCGAACACGGAGGGGGAGGGGGGCAAACTGGAAAAGAAGAAGTTATTCCCATGGAAAAGAAAAAGTGAAAGCTTTGAATACTGCACTCGAGGCCCCCGTGCCGGAGCCAATTGCCGGAAATCGGCGGCTCCTGGGCGACGTCAAAGTCGAGACGAAACTCGACATCGTCGTCAACGCGACAACGACGAAGACGTCGAGAACAGAACGAGGAGGAAATAGAACGAAACGGGCGAAGAATGGGAACAACTAGACGACGATGAACAGAGAGAAGGAGGCTAGTCGACGGAGGGCGAAACACGAGGAAATAAATAAATCAACGAGCGAGGCGGTCTCCTGGGTTGAAAAGTGGAAGAAAACGATCGACGTCGAGGGGTGGAGAATAACAGGGGCGGGACGAAGGGCTACGGCAGTTCGCGCGAACGAATTCGAAACAGGGTTGTGTATATATATATATATATGCGCGACTCAGTCTTCGTTCTCCTACTTCTTATCCCTCTGGCTTCATTCAAATGTAAGAACTCGAAAGGAAAACGCATTTTCTCTCTCGCGATCGAGAGGGGAATCGATCTTTTCTCTTGTGCCACGAGCGGAAACGGAAAAGGGGCCTTTTCCAGAGGCGGCACAGAGATACAGCCGCTCTGGAAAGCGGAGGATACTCTGATATTCGAACGCGGAATTCGTGCGTGTGTGCGGAGGGGTGAATATTTGCCACGATTCTTTCGCTTCGAGTTCATTACGGATCGATACGGAAATTTAGAATTTGAAATGGACGGATGAATTTGGAATAATCGATGTTAATTCGTTTGCTCGATCGGGGAAAATTTATGATAAAGTTGAATAATTTGTTTCAAATCGATGCGATGAAATACGATGACGCTTCAAAATTGGGATAAAATTGTGGAATTTATATCTCGTCTTGATGCACTTTTTGACGAATAGAGAAATTCACGTCAAGATAATATTTCGTGAGCGGACGTGGATGGTTTATCGTTAATTATGTGTAAAGAGAATATTATAAGCGGAGCAAAAAGGAAGAATTGTTGCGTCAGAAATTTTGTACCTACCTACCCCTTTAAAACTAAAAACTAGGAGAATAAATGACTTATAAATTGATAATATCTAAACAAGGAAAATCAACGATTTTAGTCATGTGCTTTGGTAAATTTCATAAAGTTTGTACTGGCATCAGAATTAATTACCAGGAATCTAATTTATTCGGGAAGTTGATAAGCGGAGGAAAAGGATAATTGATAGTGATTTTGTGTGAGTGAATAACATGGAAGCGCTCTCTCGTACGAAATCCAGGAGCTAGAGCCGTAATCGGAGAACACTAAAACGAACTGGTCGTTATGTCAGAGGATTTACATATTAGAACTCAAGCCCCCGAGATTACACGAAATTTGGGGAGAACTAATTTCCCTTTGCTTGCGGTATTATTCGATTATTGATTTCCACGCGAAAATTTCCTGGTTGAAAATAATTCGTTATTTATATAATTGAAATGTTCGTGAAACGTTCGCTTCTGGACGCATACACACATATATTTTTTTTTTAACTCGAACCAAATTCGAAGCATTCGTACAAAAGAGGAAATATATGTATAGATCTAGTACGTTTCGGGTAATTGCAAAAAAATAGACATTCAATTTATAGTGCGCTATTTGCTTTGTAAAAATATTACGAATATCGAATTTTTTTGTCGAAACAAAGGGAAGTGTAACTATGCACAAACGCTAAACATAGTTGCATAAAAAAACGAGACAGATATTTTCGTTCGTTTTGCATGCAAAGTAAAATAAACTAATTAAGCGTTTTCCCTTTTTTCTTTTTTTTTTTTTTTTTTTTTTTTTTTTTTTTT